GTGCTTGCTTTCCGTAACTCAAAGTTCCTTGGGGGGGGGGGGGCGCACACACACACGACCTTCAGACATTGAGTTATCCAACAGCAAATTCAGAGTGGGTTGCCTTGATAATGCATAGTATAGGGGTGGACTACATATTTTCTGCGTTAATTTATCGAACCAAAATTTTTACCTCATTTCTTTTCTGCAATTTTGTAAGTGCATGTTAAATGGTCATCAGACACAGAAAGATTTTATCAGCATTACTGTGTTCCTACTTTCTCTTATGCATCATCACAACTCACTGAAGGGTACATCACAATTTGTAAAGCAATTTGAAAACATTGGCACATGCAGGCACTTTAAAATACCATGGGTTCCATTTTCCTTTCTTGTGGCTATGCAAACAACATTTTTCTTACTAAGTAACTGGACGTTGCCTGAATTACACAACATTCTCACTAACTCATATATATATTTACATGACATTGAAGTATGGTCCCTTCCAGGATGAGGGGGATGACTAGCACATGGAGAGGAACAGGGAGGATACTAGATAGCATTACTCTCAAAAACATGGAAGTTGAAGACTCATCTAATAACCATTCTTTCCAAATTATTTTTACTCCTCCCTCTCATTTAATTAAGGCTTAGCACTATTTCACTATACTCAGTCATTGCCGAGTCATTGTAAGTTTTGGCTTACCTGAAAGATCTCTGACCCCTTTGTGTCTTGGAACATGGAAAAGCATACTAGCTGAGATTATTTCACTCTTTCTTTTGAAAATAAAACTGAAGCAAATAACACAATAGCAGTAGCTGTAGGATACAATAATCCTATAGCAGCATCTATGAATCAGTTTGCTACCACCAAGAGCCTCTCTGTTTTCAGCGCTTGGGGAGAGTTGTGCCATCTAAGCACAAACGCTGCCTGTGCCTATATTAATCTAGTTTCTAGAGACGTTGGAGTAACATCAGAGGATGTACTCTCAGCCACACAAGTTAACAGGTAAGATGTCAACAGTAAATGAAGTGGCTGCCTTGGAGAAGAGGAAGAAACAGCATTCTACCTGAAGGCAGTTTATAAGTCAGGAATGTGATTTCTTGCGGTATGGTAAATGGACACCCTTATCTTCTTTAGTGAAAAAAATGACTCCAGGGAGAAA